TTAATGAATTCTTTGTATGTAACTGTCTAAAGCAGATATTTCACTTGAAATGAGGAGTGGCACAAGGTTTAACAAACAGGGCAGCTCAGTGCACAGATCTCCAAGCTTCTGTTGAACCTCATTTCTTTTCCCAAAAGAAAAATACTTTTATTAATAAAATTGTTAAAGGTATAATACAAGATAATTCAAATTCAGCTTTACTTTTTGTCTCCAAGATAAACTTTATTCATAAGACTGTAAAAATATATTTCAAACCATTTTTAACTTTGAAATCAAAGAAGGTTGAAGAAAAGTTAACTTGTCTCTTTGCAGCATGTTTCACTTTTTGGGGTCATTATACAACTGCAAAAGTCTTAATATTTACAGTGTACATTCTATGTAAGGTATACACCCCAAGGGCAAACGTTTCAAATTGAAAATTAGTGTGCAATAGAAAATAGCTTTTGTCCCTGCACCATGTTCCATTCTGAGCAGTGTCAATATTATTTCAATATTCATGATGTTCACGATATATCTTCCTTGTCAGGTGTTCTGTACAAATATCTCTGAGGGGCATGTAAAAGGTCACAGTCTAATCACTTGGAACGTTTTGTGGCAAGGTAGTCAGACCAATCGCTCACATCATCAAAGACAGAGCCACAACACAAAGTGACATCTGGTGTTTGCAACCTGAGAGTCTGTGCACAGCTTGATGTAGCCGTACACAAAGGTAGCCATCAGGAAGAGGGTGATGGTCATGTTTCTTGCCCCTCTCTAGTGATTTGTACATTGTGACCCTGTGAACAGTTCATTTTTGATCTCCAGATAAATCAGAAGATGATTTGAGTGATTGCCATAACAGAGGTCAGACCTGAGCCACGCACTTAATGAGCGGGTTTTTACTCTCACTGGAGAGGGAGTATCATTCCCACATGTTCAGTTTGTTTTGTTGTGGCTATTTACTCCCTCAGATTTTAGTGCATAGCCTGGCCAATCTGCGGGACTCGCAGGATGCAAGAACAGAGAAGTGAATTGGTAGCATTAGAGTAACAGGAATGAGAAGTAAGACTAGCTGAGAGCTTATATTAACAATCCATTGAGTTGAATATGGAGTAAGCCCTCTCTCTCTTTGTGCTGTCTTGGGAGTGAAGAGTTTGGCTTGTTAATAATGATGGAAGGAACCCAAATCAAAGGAACAGTAGTTTGAACGAAAAAAGCAGACAGCCACACATGCTATCAGCAATGAGAATAGCAGTTACGAGGTTTTTTATGTTTTATGGAAAGGTAGGTTGTGGGATTACTTCACTATATTAGCTGCCAGCTTCTGTCAGTTTCCTGGACTGATTACTTTATTTAGCATATTTCCAACCTTCCTCCTTTTTCATTGCATTTTAAAAGCATTACACAGGAGAGTAGATGTGAGGTTCAAGATAGGTGAAACTGAAATTTGCCAGACTTACTTCTGCAGATGTTTGGAATGTTCTTTTTCCACACTAACTGCCTACACAGTTCCTAATATGAAAATGCTGACTTGAGTAATAATTTCTTGCTGAGAACCCATTGTCTGTGGAGAACTAAATGAAAACTGTGTCTTTAGCACTTTATATTTTAAGTAACCCTTCCCCAAACACTAAGCAAGCCTTTTCTCTTGGCACCTTGACTACAAATTTGATTGGGAAGCTAATTTATGTACAGAAAATGAATAAATTTTAGCAGCTGGCATTAAACACACTTTTTAGAAGTTAATGCTTAGACGAAATAATGAAATTGGCAAATCTCATAAAGCAATAAAATGAGGCTCAATGTTCCACAGGCTTGACTTTAGGAAAGATTTCATCAGCTAAATACTGATTTGGAAGAGGACACCTCCATAACTTTACTCAGTTTCCAAATGCTGTTCCATATAAATCTCACATTATATCTGGATTAAGAGATTTGTTCTACTGATGGACTGTTAACTAAAGGGAGAATGCGAGTGTGTCAAAATGGATCCATATCCTAGAAATATCCTCCAACACCAACTTGCATTTATGTGACATCTTCACTTGCATAAAACATCCAAGCTATTTTACAGGACTACTATGAAACAAAATTTGACACCGAAGTAGATTAAGGGGAATTAGAACAGATAAGCAAACGTTTGGCCAAAATGGTAGGCTTTAAGATGTGCCTTAAAGAAGTAAAGAGAGGTAGAAAGACATAAAGGTTCAGGGCAGGAATTCCAGAACTTAGTGTTACAAGTAACAATTGAGGTTAACCCAATACACGGGATGGAGAGCATTGATTCCATGGTGATTTGAGCTTGTATAAAATTACACTGGGCATTTTAAGGGATTGTTATTTATTAATTTAAATGATTTGGCTATCTGTTCCTTGTGTATTTTCAAAAAATGTATGAATGGGAATCGTTTTGTGATGCAGTGGCAGTGTCCATACATCTGTGCTAGAAGATCGAGTTTCAAGTCCCACTTGCACTGGAGGTGTATAATAACATATATGAACAAGTTGGTGGAAAAAAGCACTTTCTTTTGATGATTTGACTTTATTTTGTTAAGTGCCCCTTTCAAGCCCGATATCAAATTAACCAGTTTAATTAGGTTCAATGTGTTAATTAAAAGAGTACGTAAAGGGACTAGGGGATATTTTCTAATCAGCCTGTTCAGAGATATTAGTACCCACTTCTGGAGCAGATGGAAATTAACTCTGGAACAGAGGCAGGGACACTACCAAGAGTCCTGGTACTCCTTTTAGGTGTGGTTAACTTGTTCGTTATGTTTTTGGCTATCTGGCCCTCAAAAAGAGAGTATGAGACATTAAGCTAAGGTGGCCCTTAACAGGTTTGGGCAGTAAACTGTAGAGAAGATCACGAGACCTGACTCTCTGGGTGTATGTGTGTGCATGCAGCTGAGACTCCTCCATTGTTAAGTCTTCACCAGGACAAACCTGGACAGGAAGTACACGGTGTCTTCTGGAATGCTTCAGGCCTGTTGTGACTGGCGGGTACTACAAATTCTGGAGTACATTATCTCTACATCTTATTACAGTACCCACTTAAGTTCTGCCACTTGTTTATTGAGTTTAATTTGGCTTTATTTTCTTGAATATAAAGCAACATGTATCTTCTGTTTCTATAATTGTATCAATATATGTGTTTGTGTTTTTCAATCTGAAGAAAGCTACTTCAAGTAAACAGTGGCTCTGGTTTATACTTCCTTCATTAACTGGCTATCAAGATTTTTTTAAAAATCAACCTATTCAGATGTTATTATACACTTCCACAGTATATGGGACTTGAACCTGGGCACCTGCTTCAGAGGTAGGAACAATACCACTGCACCACAGGAGCCCCCAAGCTATCGGGGCTGTAACACTTGGCAATTGAAGGCAGAGCCATTAAAATTAGGGATGTGTAAGAGGTCAGAATTGGAAAAGTGTAATATTTCTAGACTAGAGAAGAATGCAGAAAAGGAGCAGTAAGGTCATGGTGGATGTTGAGAATTTTAAAATTTAAGTGTTACTTAACCAGGAAACCAATGTAGGTTGGTGAGCACAGGAATGAGTGGTGATAGGATATTTTGATTATACTTGGGCTTATGGATTGTGGGAAGATGGAAGACCAGCCAGAAGTATGTTAGAATAGTTTAGTTTAGAAGTAACAAAAAGATGGTTGAGGGTTTCAGCAAGAGGTGAGCTGAGGCAGGGTGAAGTGAGGTGATATCACAGAGGCAAATGATCTTAATGATGGTACAGATGTCTGGTCTGGAAGTTAATCTTGGAACTAAATATACACCAATGATGCAAGCCGATTGTTTGAGTCTTCGAAAATTGTTGTCAGGAAGAGGAAGGACCACTCAATCTTGAATTATCCTATATTCTGTAACACCTGGCAAAACTAGAAGCCTGCCATTAATTGGTAATCCCCACTAAAGTCTACAGAAATGATTCTTTCAAAGCAAAGATATTCTCTCAATTTAGTACCAAATTTTAACAGAGCAAAGATACATGAGAAAAATAAATAGTTCATTATGTTCACAGTAAAGGAAAATTTCAACTCCATTGAGAATCATTAATAAACTTAATGAATCAAGATAATTCCTATTAGAAGCCAAGAATACCTATCGTGCCAGTTGCACTAAAACAAATAGTCCAGTCTTTATGTTTGTAATTTTCCTACAGGAAGTATGCATTACATTTAATTAAGAGTTGTTTTTATAACAATACTGTAATGCATATATCCAATATTCAAAAGCAAAAGTGCAGGAAATTTAAACACATTCCTTTCCTTAGAGATTAGTGTACAGCTGGAGCCACATGACTTCTGTTAAGCCTGTCAAGCACAGCTTTCATTAGGGAGATGTTTCTACTAAATTTGAGTCTGGAGGAGAGGAGAGAATACTCTCTCTCTTGCTGAGAGAAAATGGCTGTGTATGTTAATTATCCAAATCCAGTTTCCAGTGGGCATGGATCAATGCTGCATGCAACTGATGTCAAATTTGACTGAAATACCATAATTGTATTGTGAAAGGCTGCAAAGAGAAAGCATACAGAATACTGAAATTATATCCATATAGTAGCAAATTTTCTGTCATATCAGTTTATACTCTATCTGAAGCCAATTGTATCTGTACTGCCCATGCATTTATCTGCTGAACTATCATAATGAATGGTCTTACTGACAGGTTAATGCCACAAAATCTTTGAGAGATAGAAATCAGGCTATTGAAGGCTGTTTCACTGTCAGTGAGTAATACAAATCATACCATGTATACTGGTTACATATCTTCAGGTTTGAACAAAGCTGATCACAGCCTGCCGAGCATAAGGTTTCTGTCAGCAGTTTAATTATTTAGTATCTTGTCTATAATGTTGGAATGAATGGTTTCACCTTGATCTGTTTTATATGAAGCTTTATTTTAAACATGTCTTTCAACCTTTTGTACAATACAATCTCTTAGTTTCCTCCCATCTTCTCTGATGTTTATGCTTACACTTCCATGATTTCTCTTCTGTTTTCTCCTCAGGGAAGGCCGAAGCAGAGCTGAAAAACTTTAGTCCTCATTACCAGCGGCAATACTCTGTGGCTGCCTTCAATCATATCAGATGTGAGGTACAGCAAGACCAAGAAGCACAACCCCAACTGCTACAGCATAAGGTACGTAATAAACTGTGCGCTACAGTCCAGGGGGATGATTCTGTGTTCCCACGGTATTAGTAGAGAATCACTTCCACGGGCTGTGTGGGTCAGAGAATCTGGGTGGCAAAGGTGCAAGTTGGTAGCATAAGGTCACCCAAAATCCATAATAAACGAAACCCTCTTGCTCGACGTACTTTCTGTCATGTGTTCTTGTTATTGTTGGACTAATACCATGAGTTTTCAGAGGTACACGAAGCAGGAGCATTATTGGAACATATCGTGCTGCTCTGGCTTACATCTTGCAGGAGACTGAATGAGACCAAATAATGTGGTGCTGTATCACCTCACGTGATGATTTACAAATTAGAATGAACTCATTAACTATCTAATATCCAATACAATACAGTGTCCACGGGGTAGGAGGTGGCTTTTGTGAATGAGTTCTGTCTCACTGTATTGTTCCCTTTTGGATGAAGTACAAAAGAACATAAGAAATTGGAGCAGGAGTAGGCAATATAGTCTCTTGAGCCTGCATTTGATACGATCATGGCTGACCTCAACTCAGTCTCAACTCTATTCTCCTGCCTGCTCTCCATAACACTTCAACCTATTACTAAATAAAAATCTATCTATCTCCTCCTTAAATTTACTCCCAGCATTCACCACACACTTGGGTAGTGACATCCACAGATTCACAATCTTTTGAGGGGAGTAATTGCTCCTCAATTCTACGTTAAATCTGACCTCTCTTTCTAGATTGCCCCACATGAGGAAATTTCCTTTCTACATCTATCTAACTCCAGAGAATATAGACCTAAACTGCTCAATTTCTTTTCATAAGACATAGACATATCTCTGGTATCAATCTAATGAACCTCCTCTGAACTGCTTCCAATACAACTAGATCCCTCTTCGAGTAAGAAGACCAAAATTGTACGCAAGGTGCGAAATTCCAACTGCCTTCCTTATTACCTGGTGTCCCTGCATACTAGTTTTCTCTGTATGCACAAAGACACGCAGATCCCTCCGCATCGAAGCGCTCTCAAGTTTCTCTACATTTAGATAATAAGCTGCCTTTCTATTCCCCTGAACAAAATGGATAACCTCACACTTATCCATGTTAAACTTCATCTGCCAAATTTTGGTCCATTCAACTAACCTATCAACATCCACTTGTAAATTTGTTATTGCTTCCTTGCAACTTGCGTTCCTACCTATTGTAATGTCCTTTGCAAATTTGGCTGTAGTGCCTTCTATCCCTTTATCCCAATTAATTAATACAGACTATGAATAGTTGGGGCCTGAGGACAGAACCCTGTAGCACCCTATTAGTTACGTCTTGCCAACCAGAAAAGGACCCATTTGTCCCAGCTCTCTGCTCTCTGTTGGTTAGCCAATCCTTTATCTAAGCTAATAAATTGCCCCTAACTCCATGTGATCTTACCTTGTGTATTAACCTTGCATGTGGCACTTTTTATTTAAATACCATCTCGAGGTCCAGATATATAATATCTACAGGACTCCCATTATCCGCATTGCTTGTACTGCTTCAAAGAATTCTGGAAAATTAGTCAAATATGATTCATCCTTCATAAAACAATACTTACTTTGGTGCATTGTATTTTGACTTTCGAAATGTCCTGTTATTACTTCCATGGCAATGGATTCTAACAGTTTCTCAATGAAACCTGTTAAGCTAACTGGTCTGTAGTTTCTATTTTCTACTTCCTTCCCTTTTTGAATAAGGGTATTATATTCGCATTTTTCCATTCGAGTGGAACCTTTCCCACATATATAGGGAATTTTGGAATATTGTAGCCAAAGTAGGACTATGGATGTCCATAGCAAGCTTGGTTTTGGCTCCAAATTGGCTCTCCTGATTGCAGATCCAGCAAAGTGCATGGCATGTAAAGCTTGTCATAAACAACTGCTGGAGTGATATTTGTCCTCTGTCTCTCTCTTTGTCCGGAATTCAGCCCTGAAACATATAACTTAAGTGCAGAAGTAAGCCATTCAGTCTGTCAAATCTGCTATGCCATCCAATAAGATCATGGTTATGGTCTCAACCCCATTTTTCAGCCTTTCTCCTGTTACCATAGTCTCCCTTATCTATCAAAGATCTATCTAACTGAGGCTTGAACAAACTGTGACCCAGCCTCCACCACTTTTGGGGGAAGAGAATTCCACAGTTTAACAGCCCTCTGACAAAATAATTCACTTCATCTGCATTTTAAGAGTAAAACCATTACTCTTGAGCTGTGTCTGCTAGTTTTAATCTCTCAGAATCTATCCTGTCAAGGCTGCTCAAGATCTTATCTGTTTTAGTCATAACTTCCATTTTCCTAAACTCCTATGGATGAAGCCCCAAACTATTTAACCTTTCTTCATAATTCACCCAGGAATGAATCAAGTGAACATTTTTTACACTGCCTTTTTTTTAAATTGTAGACAATACTCCAGATGTGGTCTCTCCAAGGTCTTGTATAGCTGCTGTAAAATTTCTTTACTTTTGTATTCCATACCTATTGCAGCAAACAACAACATCCATTTTCATTTTTAGTCAATTGCTTTACCTGCAAACTAACTTTTTGTGATCCTTGTACAAGAACACACAGATCCCTCTGTACCTCAAGTTCTGCAACCCCTCTCCATTTAAAAGTTGATACTGCTGTTCTGTTCTTCCTGCCAAAGTGAACAAAATCATATTTGCCTACAATATACTACATCTGCCAATTCTTTTGTCCCATTCACTTAACTTATTCTATATCCCTTTTGCAGACTCCGCTCGGTTTCATCAGAAATGTCCCTGCGTCAAGATCATTGCCATTAGTTCTAAGTAACTGAGGTCTCAGCACTGATCCCAATGCTAGTTACAGCTTGCCAACCTGGAAAAGACCCACCTATCTCTAATCCTTGTTAGCTAACTTTGATCTGTGTTAATCTGTTACTCCCCAGCATTATGTTTTCTTAATTTTTGTCACAACCTTTGCAATGGCACCTTGAAGTGATTTTTGGTCTTGTACTTATAGCATGTTTGTGAGCACAGGGAGTTGAGTTTTCTGTCTTCTTCCCATGAGTTTACACGGTGCTGGACCATTTTGGAATGCAGTTGAATGATAGCTCAGAAATACAAGTTGATGTTAAAATTCTTCTTTCGTAATAGTTTCATTATATGCATTTCTCTTTCAGCTTTACCATTGGCTTGAGTGCATCTCCATGAACTGGCATTCTAGACAAATTTTAGACAAATCCGTAAACTGCTATGAACTCAAGTGCCAAATTCTCATTCATTGATTACAAAGTCTATTATTTTGTGCTGCTTCAATAATTCTCTTGGCTCTGACGATGAATAGAACAGTTATTACAATTTGATGTTGTCTCTTCCAATGGTTTTTTATGAGCTGGCCACCCAAAAAAAATCTTGTTCTGATTTGAGATTTTGTGATGTCCTTGGTGCAACTGTTATCATATGTTGAGTCTCGGGACTCTTGGAATAGCCACTCTGTTGTGAGATGAGTAAATCATCCACTATACTGAGATGTCCTCACTGTTCATAGTACTGAGAATGGGATTGTGAGCATGTATACTGGGCATCGTTTGTTACAATGGTATCTGACCTGAACACATTCTTCAATAAATTTCTGTGCATCTCTGGTATCATTCAGTCACTGAGTTTTTACACGTGGATCTGTGGTTGTTATTGCTGGAAAGGTTTCTACCTGTTCAACAAAGACTACATCATCTTCTTTGGGCCTTGACACTGCAATACAGGACAAAATGTTACTGTATTCTGGTACTTTCCTGGAACATTGTCTTTACCAAACCTCATCAAAATGGAGATAACACACTGTGGAGCTGGAGGAACACAGCAGGTCAGGCAGCATCAGAGAGCAGGAAAGTTGATGTTTCAGGTAGGGACCCTTCTGCAGTCCTTGCTATCTCCTCAAAATGGAGACATTTTTGCTTCCTCCTTAGAATTTAGAAGTGCTCCTTATTAGGACCTGTGGATTGTCTTTCTTTTGACTTGAAACGAAGACCAAGCATACAATTTGCTAACTTCTTGCAAGCTGTCGCTTCTTTTTTTATAACTGCATATCTCTGTTCTGTCTTTGCCACTGAATGGATTACATAATACATTGGTGTACACTTGCCACAGTCTGTATCTGAAAGAATATAGCTCACAGTCATGTAGAGGTTTCATCTGCAGCAAAAATAGACAGTAGCTCAAGTCATAGTGAGCTAAAGTATCACTTAAATATTAACATCTCTTGAATTTTCTCAAAAGACTTTGTGCTTTCTCTCAGCTCTATGCATCCCATACTCATGGTGTCCCATACTCATGAACCTCTGGAGCTCAGTCACGTTCTGAGGAGCTGGAAACTCCTTGATTGCTCTCGTTTTCTGTGAATCAAATTTGAGAACAGATGTATCCATAATGTGCTCAAGGAACTTAGCAGTCAGCTGTGAGAATTCATGTTGTGTAAGTCACAGGTATTGCAGCTGAGGTCGCAACCCAGTGTTATGTCCTGTCTGAGTGGATCCATGGATCAGGACATCGTCTATGTAACATACAACTCCATCCACTCCTTCTAGGATACCTGACAGTGTCCTCTGGAAGATTTCTGGCCCTGATGTAATGCAAAAGGGTAATTTACTGAAGCAAACCCTCCAGAACAGTGTAATAAAGGTTGTGAGGAACTTAGACTCTACATCAATGGGTATTTTCATCAAACTTCATGAAGATTGAACTCACTCCTAATTTTAAGGTCTTGTTCACAGATGATATAGGATGAACTCTGTGCTCAACTGTTTTGTTTGGCTGTGTAAGATCCACACAAATTCACAGACCTATTGGGTTTTGGCACTGCAGACCAATCCCGAGCACCAGCTTATTGATTCTGTTAGAAGTGAATTAACCCCTTGCTTCAACATAGAGCACACTTGCTGGCAAACATGGAGGAGGGTAACAGTGTGGAGCGGGAGGAACACGGCAGAAAATGAAAATGAAGGAGGCTCCCGACCTGAGACATCAGCTTTCCTGCTCCTCTGATGCTGCCTGACCTGCTGTGTTCCTCCAGCTCCACAGTGTTATCTATGGAGGAGGCTGTTTCCGTATGTGAACAAGCACATTAGCTTCACTTCTGGATATGGAGCAAGGTGGTTCTAGCAGGTGGCTGTGGAAATTCAATTCTGAAGGTTTTTGGCTGATTTTCTCGGCTTTCAACTTCTTCCAGTCTGCAAATCAGGAGAAGCCTTCCTGCTTAAAAGCGAGCAACTCTAGATGCTTTGGTGTTTTGTGATTTGTTTATCATTATATTAGATGGTTGCCTCAGTTCTGTTATGGCCTTGAGTTCTATCCCTCCTGGACCATACTTTTTTTTTTGTACAGCAATTTAAAATGGCTCTTGTTTTCTTCTGCAAGGATGTTGGCTCCCTAGTAGCCTCTGTTTGATTACTGGGTCTCTCCAAAGAAAAGTACCTTCATATCAAACATCATTTATTTCTGGATCCAACCGTTTGTGAATATTTATATACAGGAGTATTATGGCACACAGCCTTTATAGTGGCCCATTTTTGCACTAAAAGGCATTCAGCCTGTTTGGCAGTGCAGTTTCTCCACATGTTTTTCCTTCCCACACCAATTACAGTTGACTTTGGCTGTTGATAGACGCTCTTCTCATCATCTTCTTATGACAGCTTTCCCTTTTAAAATTGATATTCTCTGCTGAGACAGCAGTTTTTGAGATAGGACTCTACCTGTCACCTGCTGTTCAAAAGAATGGAAACAGGACAAACAGGGTTCTTTTGGAGATTTAAGGAACAGTGAATTGATGAGATATGGCATGCTTCTGGTATTAGTATCTGGAAAAAATTGAGCAGAGTGAAACGATTGCTAATGGACACTAGAAGTTGCAATGTAGTGTAGAGAAAGAAAGGAACCCTTGCTGGAGAACTAGAAGTGACTTTGATATTATTCATTTAATGCACATTTTTACTGGTAGCATGATTTGTATTCAGAGGGCTTGTAAGACATTATTTTGGTTACTGTTGAGCTATGTCATTTTAGTTTTAGTTGCAAGAGTGAAATCTTGTTCACCAGTTTATTTCATTCGGTAGTTTGGGATTTTTTGTTGCTATTGGTTTCTACAGGAATTGTAACATTCTGCTAATGCAATTAACAATGTTGAAATTAGCTGATACCACAGTTTGCAACAGGGTGAGTGGTACAGTCTAAAGGCTAGTGCAAATCATAGGATCTGTTTATAATATATAATCATCTGCTTTATCTTCAGTTGCACATCATCACCATCAGAATATCAAGCTCTTATGTTCCCTGGTGGATTGTGCATGATGTTGCTCATTTGCAGTGTACAGTTTGAAGTAAGCTGCCTAATGGTTACCACTTAAGTCCAATTGTTTGTAAATTAGGACAAGAAGCTGAAGATCCACAAGGGGACAAGAATGGCAATTTGGAATTTATGGAGACAAGTAAGAGTGAGGAAGTCCAGGGCCTTTATAGCAAAGGCGCAGGGAGTGAAGTTTACTTTACTATTATCATTGTAGGAATGGAACAGAACTAAAGCTTCTTTTTACTTAGTTTTACATTTAAGAGTAGAAATGTAACTTTTGAGAATCTGTATTAGATCTCCTATCTATAGGCCCTTGTGTTCATAATCTGGTTTTAGCTATCACCAATGTTATTGGTCGATCTGTTTCCATACGAATTGCTGATATCATCTAATGATGCTGTCTGTTCTCTGGTTTCTATGTCAGTTTCTGTTGCCTGTATAGTATCGGGTCTATAATGAATTGAAACTTCACCAGCTTAACTTTGGTGAAGATGAAGCATTCTGTTTTTGTTTTTTGGCAGCATCAAAGTGACTCTGACATTGTCTTCGTCGGAAACTCTGGCTGCTAGGTTGACCAGCCATGTGCAACTTTCACATTCTTAATTGTTTCTGCTTTTGAGCCTTCCACCACCCTCCTCCTAGTTATTTACCAATTCCACCTGTAATTATTGGCTACTTGTGACTATCTCAGCCCCTGTCTCATTGTAATTTTCACACGGGCCTTCATCACCTTGAGCACTGATTTCCTAAAATAGTGTCCTTGTTTATTTGACCAAACCCAACCTTGGCAAATTTTACCTAATCCAGAATGTGAACCTGAACAATGCCCCCTTGGCGCGTTGGCCACTTCTGGTACTAATGCTGTAAGGGCCATTGGAAGGATCATACCTGAAGCCCCCAAATGAAAGTGAGTGTGGCTGAATCACTGGGGCGAGTGAGAAGGCATGGGTAATGGGATCACAGTTAAGAGCAGGGGTGTGATTTCCCGAAGGATCTTCCCTTTCAATCAGCAAGATTCTCAGCTGGGCAGAGGATGCCCAAGAGGTAGGGGGCTTTCCACAGGGCCACAGGCGGACCTTCTTGGGAAGAGTTGGGAAGACAGTGGTGTCTGCACACAACACTTTTTTCCACCGTTGTATGGTCCTTCTGCTTCCCAGCCTGCCTTCTGTGGAAGGTTTAAATTCACGCCAGTGAAACTGTTTTTTTCTGTTGCTTTGTTCTAGTTATCAAAAACAATGGAACAATTTGTTCTAATATGTTACATTTGTCAATGTGAATGTTTGGGTCAAAGGAAGAGAAATTTACAGCATGCACAAATGTTACATTTTGGTACAAAGCATGCTTGTTGACTTGTTCTATCTATTTGACAATGTGCTTGTTTGCAGCATTCCTGCTTCTGATTCAGAAGGTTGTAGATTTATGTCCAAATCGACACATAAATTTGTGCAGTACTTGTTACTTTGATTTCCTGGTTCTCTAGAATATTTTGTCAAAGAATAACAAAGTAATATAAGAAGACATTGGAATATAATAGCTACAATTTAATTACTCCCAAGAGGACTACCTTGTTTTCAGTTCATGCATATCAATGGCTTCAAGCTTCAACCTTCAGACCTGAGATATCCTGCACTAACAAATCAGCGTGTTATGAGAGTGCTGTACTACACAAGATGTTCTCTTCAAGCCCCTGTTTTACCTTCCCTCATGATTGGGGAAAATAGTTGGTGATTCATCCCAGTTTTCTGGTGACCATTTATTCCTCAAGCAATCTTTTTAAAACAGAGTAACTGATTATTTTATCCCTTTGCTGTTTGCTAGCCCAGGCTATAGGTAGATTAATTGTTGTTTGCCTACATTACAACTGTAACTGTACTGAAAATAATTGGCTATGAAAGTTGCTATTTACAAAATTAGGTTGTTCTTCTTTACTTGATTGGAATCAGTCTAAGTTTCTGTTGGAGCAAAAAGAAGTGATGCTGGAAGAGTCATCAAGCTGATTCCTCTTTGAAACTGGATCTGCACCTGAATAATTGGATAAATTAATAAGCTTGAGGCTGTGCTGAAAAACATTTTCTGCTCCACTAAGCATAAGCTGGGCAAACTGCAGAGTGAAAATCCACTCAACTTCCAGACTTCAAACAGAAAATGTATAAGGTTTTACTGTCAAGGCTAAAAATGTTTCTGTTTGCTTTGTGTAGTGCTGGTGTAAATGTGTCGGTGAAAACTTCCTCTTTGGGCATTTCTAATGAAATTTTTAGAACATGTTTGTGGTTTCATTAGAAGTACTGAAGTGGAAGTCTTCACAACCACATTTCAATCACCTTTTGTATGTTGAAATTGAAGGATGTATTGCAAGTTTTTCAAACTTTATAAAACTAAGTAGATGTGTGGTTTATGTTCCATTTGGAATCATTCCTAGAGGATAGTAAGATTGCTTCCAGAATAATGCAATAACTGGCAACAGAAAACAATTCTACCATAGGCTTTCAGTTCTGTGATTTTGGTTTTGTTTTGTTAGGAATGCTTGTGTAAGTTGCTCCTTTTTATATATTTTGTTAAAGTTTATCCAATTTTCAACTGCCAGGTCTAAGGTAAAATAAAATGCAGACAGTCTGCATTCAAGATACAATCAACACTACACTCGTAACCAGTAACCAAGAGCTGCTGGACAATTCCCTGAATTGATTCGCTGCTGTCCCCATTTGCCACTATATATTCAAAGTCTCCACATGTCGCTTGCTACTTGGCTCCTTTAAAGTTGGGAACTGTCACTGTCACTGTTGCTGGGTCAAAATCGTAGAACTCCCTTTTCCTAGCAATACTGTGGGTGTACTTTCATCACATGGACTGGAGCAGTTCAAGAAGGTGGCTTACCACCAAGGACAATTAGGGATGGGCAATCGATTCTGGCCTAGCCAGTATTACCTACATCCTTTTTAAACAAAAACGAGAATTGACTAGGTGTCCATCCTCCCAGTAATAGTGTGTTAAACGTTGGCACCACTGTGCTATCTTGCCTTCTCTCAGTTTATGTTCAAGTGTTCGAACAATTTGATATGCAGTGGTAGTTTGTTTTGTAATGATGCTTCAAAGTTTATATTCTACCTTTTATAGGATCCAAAGAGAACTGAGAAAGTGGTATATCAACAGGAAGTGATACAATATGTAGAAGAGTTCAGGAAATGGAAGGAACGATATGTTGTGATAAAGAATGACAACAGCATGGAATGCTATGAAAACAAAGAGGTAAGGAATTCTTTGCTGGTTGCTAGTTCACACATCAGCAAACCAAACAAAAACTGAACCGGTGCAGTAATATTGTGCTGAAACAATGTGCACAATTTGACACTTGCAGGACTGCAGGCTTTCTCTAACACCTCACTGTGTTAGATCATAATCTTTGTTTAATGGCTCATTTCAAATTGTATTTGCACAATGAGATGCCTTTCTTGGATGCACAAGCAAAATTATATATTTGCAATAAGTGCTGAATGATTTCATACTTTGTGCTATCCAAGGAGCATTCTGTATGGCAGTGAAACTGTGCAGAGATCAGTGGAAGATTTAACTGGTCAGAAGTTTTAACTTATTGACATCATTTTTTCGGTGAAGTTTGACAGCCACAAAATCCATTGAAGTTAAATGCACTTTTTTTTTTACATAAAGCATGAATACATTGGTGTTTGCAGATAACAGGGACTGGCAATAATGACTTGATTTAGAAAAAGAAACCTTTTTACTTAAAACACTGTTTGCAGTCATTTTTAGAATATAATTTTAATCTATTCAAATATATGAAAATATCAATTAAACCTTCCAGGAAAACAGACTTTATTAATTCACAACACAGACCCATATGTAAGATTGTACAAAGGAATACTGTCACATGGTACTTCGTGATAGTTTACCATATTCATAAATAGAAGGCAACATGGTGATGTGATTGACATAACACGACACTGCCAATTGCACCTCCTTTGTATAGATTAGTTTCAATAGTCTTAACACATCAGAAAGTTTGTGCAGCAGTTGGGAAACCATTCTCTGCTGTATGAGCCTATTGTAACAACTGGGAATTTCAAAATAGATGCTTTGTTTATTCTTTTGTGGATTAAAGTGCTTAAATTTATGTACCAATGGAGATTCCATAAAATGAAAATGATAGCAATGGATGCCACAGCCTCAAAGAGATAGATACTAAACTATTAGTTCAGGGCAGGGGGAGAGGTGTAAATTCTGCAGGCCATCTCCCAGCATTGGTGTTCAGAAACTAAACTGCAACCATGTGACGAAAGCAGTTCGGGTCGCTAGGAAATATTTAGTGGTTGGGATGTCATGCAAAGGACTCGGAACGTTAAGGTAGGTGGCTCAGATTTTGCAGTAAAAATGACAGTGTGGCCATCAGTACTCATTGCTGTTAAAGAGGAAATTGCAATGCAACCTTCAGCAACTACATGGAAAAGAAAAAGTTGCCGTGTGAGGTGCCTTACTCCTTTGAAAACATCAATATTGGATGTTGCAATGAGAATGTTTTGATACTGTTTCGTTACATGCCCACAAACATATCAGGAAAAAGTATGGCTATTCCACTTCAAAGTAAGTAAATGCTTAATAATATTAAGTCTTCTATCCTGACAAAAAAACTTGGTTGGCACTATAAGCTCACCTGTTAAGAGTGGAAATCCCATTCCTTCAGATTTAATTATTGGAAATATTTAAAAAATTTAAAACTTTTTTGATTTTTCTTTAAAAGCTTTTTTCACTTTCTCAATCAATGCTCCTTCTAAGTTGTATGTCTGAGCAGCAACCTGAAGATCCCATCCAGCTCATGTCGAAATGAGCCTGTCCCCTGGGTTGGATTTTTTTTGGAAGCATTGTGAGTCTCACCTGCAAGTAGAGTCAGTGGAAGACTTGTGTTATCTCCTCTGGAAAACCTGTCAATGAGAGAGTGAATCTGAGGGATTGGGTGTATTATCTTATGGAAAAAGCTTGAACAGTTTAGGACTGTATCCAAAGGAGCTTTCAAGAATGCGAGGTGATCTTATTGAAACACGGTAAATTTTGAGGGGACTAGATAGTGTGGACACTTTGAAGGATATTTCCTTGAGTAAGGGAGATAAAAATTGCGAATATAGTTTAAGATTAAAAGGTCTTTATTTTAAAACAGATGAGACTTTTTTCACTCTGAGTAGTTGGTATGTGGACTTCTCTTCCTTTTTAAAAGGTAGTGGAGTCTGGGTCATTGAATTTATTGAAGGGTGAATCTGATGGTTCGTAGATTAGACAAGGGAGTCAAGAATCGGGGATGCAGTCAGGGAAATGGAGCTGAGACCAAAATCAGATCAACCATGATTTTATTAAATGACAGAGTAGGTTTGAAGGGCAAAATGGCCGACTTCTGCCCCTGTGTTCCAATTTGGCATTGAGTTAACAATTCCCATTAACACTTCCAAGTTCAGAATTAACATGTCTCAGTGAGGATTCTTCAATCGTCTTAACCAAGTAGATACCCAGTTGCTTGCCTTGGTCAAATATGTCCCAGATTCCTTTATAGAGGGTGATACACTATTTCATATTTATATTCACTGCAAGATCTAGTATAAAAGCATATAAGCATAGGGGAGGCAGTGACCTAGTGGTATTATCACCAGACTTAATCCAGCAAACCAGATAACATTCTGGGGGCCCAGGTTCAAATTCGGCCACGGTGGATGGTAGAATTTGAAATCAATAAAAAAAAATCTGGAAGTAAGAAACTACTGATGACCCGTGAAACCCATCTGGTTCACTAGGCATTGACCTAGGCACTGGAAAAGACGATAGCAGAAACAGCCCTGCTGACCCTGCAGAGTCCTCCTTACTAACATCTGGGGGGCGAGTGCCAAAATTGGGAGAGCTGTCTCAGACTAGTCAAGCAGCAGCCTGATGTAGTCATATTCATGGAATCATACCTTGCAGATAATGTTGCAGGCACCACTACCGCCATCCATGGATGTGTCCTGTCCCACCAGCAGGACAGACCCAGCGGAGGTGGTGGCACAGTGTTATACAGTCAAGCGGGAGTTGCTCTGGGAGTCCTCAACATTGACTCTGGACCCCATGAAGTCTCGTGGCTTCAGATTAAACATGGGCAAGGAAACCTCTTGTTGATTACTACGTACTGTCCTCCCTCAGCTGATGAATCATTACTCCTCCATATTTTCAAAAGAACATTTTAACATTGCCATGGACACTGATTGCTATTTCTGTGCTGTCTATACCTGTGTTAGGTCTATCAGAAGGGAGGAGAGCCAAAATGTAAACTACTTCCAACTGGTTACAGAGTGCTTACATCAATGATTGAATATGCCTTATTGGTGGACAAGTATTTCCCTGATCCAAGTGGTGAGTAACTTGGAGTTGTCAACATTTTAATGCAGTTTGATTTCCACAGCTTTTTCAGCACAGATCATCCAGAGATTTTTTGTATTCATTCATGGAATGGGAGCATTTTTTGGCTGGAACAGCATTTATTGCTCATTCCTTGAGAAGGTGTTGTTGAGCTGTCTTCTTGAACTGTTGCAATCCATTTGGTATAGGTACGCCAACAACGCCATGAGGGAGGGAGTTCCAGGAGCTTGACCCAGTGACATTGAAGGAATAATGATTATCTCTGAGTCAGAATAGTGAGTGGGTCAGAGGGGTTCTTGAAGGTGATGATGTTAAAGTGTATTTGTTGCACTTATCCTTCTAGATATTAGTGGTTGTGGGTTAGGAAGATGTCGTGCCATTCAAGTGAGCCATTTCGTTCTGGATGGTGCCAAACTTCGAGTGTTGTTGGAGCTGAACTCATCCAGCCATGTAGGGAGCATTCTATCACACTCCTGACTTGTGCCTTGTAGCTGGTGAACAGGTTTTGAGGAGTCAGGAGGGGAGTTACTTGCTGCAAGATTCCTAGCCTCTGTTCTGCTCTTGTAGCCACTATATTTATATTGCTAGTTCAGTTCAGTTTCTGGTCAGTGATAACCACCTAAAATGTTGTTAGTGCAGGATTGAGTGACGGTAATGCCATTGAATGTCAGGGAGTGATAGTTAGATTCCGTTTTATTGGAGGTGGTCATTGACTGGCCTTTCAGTACCATTGGCATTGAACACTGTGCAGTCATCAGTGAACATCCTGACTTCTGATCTTGTCGTAGAGAGAAGATCATTAAAGCAGTTGATGTGTTGGGCCTCGGACACTACTCTGCACAACTCCTGCAGAGTTGCCCTGGAGCGGAGCTGACTGACCTCCAATAACCACAGCCATCTTCCTGTGCTTATAATGACTCTAATCAGTGGAGAGATTTCCCTCTGATTCCAATTTTGCTAGGGCTCCTTGATGCCACACTCGGTTGAATGCAGTCTTGATGTCAAGGGCTGTCAGTCTCAACTCACCTTTGGAATTCAGCATTTATTGCTCATGTTTGCACTGAGGCTGTAATGAGGTCAGGAGCTGAGTGGCCCTGGGTGGAACCCAAACTGGGCGTCACCTGAGCAGGTTATTGCTGAGCACTGTTGATGACACCTTCCACCACTTTACGAATGATTTGAGAGTAGACTTAATGGGCAGTAATCGTCCGGGTTGGATTTGTTCTGCTTTTCATGTGTAGAACATATCTGGGCAATTTTCCACATTGTCAGGTAGATATCAGTGTTGTAATTATACTGGAACAGCTTGGCTAGGGAAGCAGAAGTTCTGGACCATAAGTCTTCAGTACTATTGTGGAATGTTGTCAGGGTCCATATCCTTGGAAGCATCCAGTGTCTCGTTGAGTGAATCCGAGTCCGTACGGGGGCAGTGGGGGCGAGGCGGGGAGAGAGCTATTTAGTAGCTTTCCAATAAAATTAAAAACCACCAGAATTGACATTTAAAATTCTGAAATCTGTATTAGGAAAGAGTGAACTGAGACCAATCAGCCAGTTTAGATTGGGAGGTTGAATGTTTTCACTCAAAAGTACAGTTAGATAGTACCAATAAGTTGGATAATAATTTTCCATAGGTTGTAGGATCACTACAACAAACAGAGAAAAGGGACCCTCATGATTCTGATGGAAATGCACAGCTCAGTGTGGGGCCAAAATATTGGCTGTTCCCACTCCCCCAAGCACCAACTCCATTTCCTCCTGTGGCAGACATAAACACCACGTGAACATGGCAGACCAGTGTAGAACATGTGGTTTCTCCATTTGTTGACCTGAAGATGAACGTGAATACTACCATTGGCTGGTGCTGTGAAGCCCACATTGAAAAGGGAGGTTCCCCAGTACCTGGGACTTGCACATGTTGTTGTCTTGAGAGAACTTTTTTGGGGATTTTAATCATTTGTTTGTCAAAAGGATTCAGAAGTGATTTGGTTTTCAGGCATGTGTTTCAAACTAAATTGTGTTTATGCAATTTTAAAATCTAATAAAGGACGAAATAATTTGGTGACACATCTCGGACTCCCATCCTTGTGTTGAAGATACGTTGGCTTTCCTGCTGAGAATTCTCCCACTGGGGATGTGTGAGGGGAGGAGTGAAGAAGAGCTTGTTTAATTGAGAGATCCATTCACAATCTCTGATCAGAAAAGTCAGGTGTAGCTTGTAGATTGCAGTGTACACAAGGAGAGAAATGGACACAACTAAAAAAAGTCAAATGATCTGTTTAGGAAAAAAAAACAGCTTGAGAAACCACAGCAATTTTACTGTAAGCCAATAGCTGAACAAAGTGTGTGTCAATCTCATACCCATCAAAAGTTGTTCGAGTCAGCCCACTAACTTTGAGCAGGTCAACATGAGTTTTTATCTTTTTCCTTCGTGCTATCCTCAATGTCAGTTCAGTTTGTCACACACTTGTTTGAGTCTTAAGGTTCTGGGTTCAAGTCCCATTCCAGGGCTTCAGCACAAGAAATCAAAACTGACACTCCAGTGGAGTTAGAGATAAAATCAGCTAAGTATCAATTTTGGAGAGTTTCATAAAGGGTTTCTCTCTGTAAGCTCTGGCATGTTTTCTTATCCATTTTTACACTGCTGACCACATTGTGTATGCACCACACCTCTATGGCACCATGCTCACTCTATCTTGTGCTGTCCAGTGACAGATGTAGTTGCCACTGCTGGACCTTCCAGGTCCCCCCCACCGTGGGTGTAATATTTAAAGCCCTGCTGTGCCCCAGGTTAATCACTGCAACCCAGGATCTCCCCTTAACCATTGTACATTGGCACATTGGCACTTCCATTGGTTGACAGGGACACGAAGGTACTGGTGGATAGCCTGGTAGAGAAGAGGGCAGTCCTCTTTGCTCAGGACTGACAGAGGAGGCTATAGCACCAGAGCCTGCCAGCCTGCTCTGAAGTTGCCAATTAGGTCAGTATGATATCCATGGACTAGAGGAACACCCAGTGGGTGCAGGATGTAGTTAATGACCTTCTGTGTTGTGCAAGTGTATGTGCTGCCATCTTCTCTCTGCTACCTCACACACTGTCTCTTTGCTACTGCTCCCATCTCTCTGTAGCTCAGATACCGACTCCTTGGTGGGTGCTTTAGCTAGATTACATTTGGGAACACATTCTGGTGGATATGTTCAGTGACTGGTATACCAGGACACCTGAGGTCTCATTGTATCTCCTCCCTTTCCCAATTTATCGCCATTCAGATAATCTGCCACCTTGTTTTTACTGCCAAAGTTTTCTGTGTAAACTGCTGGCACATGCTGTAGGTACAAACTGATGTAGTACAGTGTCATACAAGAATATGTCCATTTCCTTAACTGACCACTGCTGATAACCATGACAAGCTGCCTGGCTTTGTGCCTGTTTGAAAAAACAAGGCAAAACAGAAGAACCATGAGACTCTAAGTTCTGAATGAAGCAGCAAAATTCAAAAAGACAAGGCATGTGATGAGCATTCAATAGGCACAAAGTGAGTGAGCGTTAAGGGCACAAGCTAAGAACCCTGCGATGCATCCTGTTCCCATCCATGAGAGAGAAGCATGTCTGTATGTACAAAGTGGCCTGACAGCAGCATTACAATGTAAGGGGTTGGTGCTCTTCAAGGTGCAGTATTGAAGTGCTGAGCTCCATTCTGAATTGGAGATGTGCCATGATGAAGTGGTGAAGCTGGTGTTTGTCCGATGCCAGCCTCATGGATGGGGATTCCAGACAGTCACTGTCCATGGAACATGCCGGGAAGTGTTGAGGCTGCGCGCAAGGTGAAGGCCCAGTGGAGTACACAGCACCAGGTAGCCATTCTGACTTCCATCTTGGTATTTGTCACTTTCTAATATTTCTCTGCCATGTGGAACGATAAGCTGAATATAAATGAGGCAAGAACAGTTAATAATGTGATGTCAATGATGCAAATAGACCTCATGCTGATCGCTAGCAAGATTCCCATCTCATTATTCAAATCTTGTGGGAAAACAGACTATTTTTTCTCATTGTCAAGAATTTTATTTTTTCTGGTCTTGCCATGTTTTCCCAATTGACTCACTATTGCCCGCATCATTCAAGGGCTGGGAAAATTCTGTCCAATGTCAGTCGGATGTGATGTTAAACCAAGGCAAGTGGATGTAAAATGTCCCATGGCACAACTTCAAAGAAGAGCAACCTGTGATCCTGTGGGACTGTGGTGACTTTCACCAGAGGCAAATATTCAATCAACATCACTGAAACAGATTGTCTGCTCTTTATCACATAGTGACTGTAGGAGCTTGCTGAGCACAAATTGGCCACTTACAACTGTCATTAAACTTTAAAAGTACCTCATGTGACATTATTGTGATTTGGGATGTCTGGTCATCAGAATAAACATATCAATGCAGGCTCTTTTTTAATCACTCAATGGTTCAAAACTTAGGAAAATTAAGGGTTGATCAGTGATGTCAGTTTAATGCTTAGGTGGCAAGTTGAAGATAATTTTTTACTCATTCGCCAAAATTGAAGTCATTCACGTGTGTGAGATATCCATTTTTAGATCACAAATATGTCCTGTCATTATAGTTTGGTCTGTGCCAGAAATTGAATTGGACCAGCCATATGATAACTGTAGGTATAAGAGCAGGTCAGAGGCTGAGGACTTTGGGATGAGTAGCTCACCTTCAGACTCCCCAGTGCCTGTCTGCCATCTACAAAGTACAAGTTGGAGTGTAATGGAATACTTCCTACTTTCCTGAATGACTGCAGCTCCAACACACTCATAAGCTTAACACAATCTAGAACAAAATAGCCCTCTTAATTGGCACTCTACCCACCACCTTCAGTGTTCCCCCTCCCTACCACTGATGCACAGTAGCAGCAATGTATGCCATATTTAAGAGGCAGTGCAACAACTCACAAAGGCTCGTTCCACGGCATCTTCCAAACCTGCAAATTCTACCATCCAGAAGGACAAGGGCAGCAGAAACATGAGAACACCTTCATCTGAAAATTCCTATCCAAGCCACACAGCAGCCTGACTTGGAATTATCTCAGCATTCCTTCTCAGTTGTTGGGGCAAGATCCTGGAATTTCCTTCCTAATAGCACTGTGGGTGGTCAAGCAACGCTGGACTGCAGCAGCTCAAGAAGGGAAGTCACTATTATCTTCTAAAAGGCAATTAGAGATAGTCAATAAATGCTGGCCGAGCCAGCGACATCCACCTCCTAGAAACAAGTTTTTATAAATGTTATTGTACTTTTAGATATTAAGTATAGGTGAGCTCCTAAATGAAAGGACCAGAAAGTTAATATATTAGAGTTTTCAATGTGCCTGGTCTACCTAAGACATGGCCAAATCACCATGCAGGCTTTAAATTGGTGTGTGTGTGTGTGCGCAAGACCATGTTAAAATGTTTAATTGACTCCTACGCAAACAAACTGGCTGCTCACTACGCAAAGCACTTAAAGGCTTTGTTGGATATAAGTTACTTTTTAAGGTGGTTGTGGTGATGGAATGAAATAAATGGCCATTCTTCCTAGATGTTTTCTAAAGAAACTTCAGAGATTTCATTTCGCACTTCTGGAGTCAGTGGGAGTTGAACCAGGGACACCCTAACAATAAAGGAGCTAGTTACCAAATGTGAGAGCTCATCAGGGATTTTGACCTGAGACCTCTCTCATTTCCTCAGTTCTCCTGTAGCAAGAACCATACCCTTAGACCAATGAGCCAAGGCATGGTGATTTTATTTATGCTTCCTCTCCTAATAACATTCCAATTCTGCTTATTTTTCAGCAGTCAGTGGGAAGGATGGTAATCAGAGCTTTCTTGTTAACCACACCCAATACTCAGTGTACCTGTGGCACCCATACCGAAAGCATAGTTACTTCTGTTTTGAGAATGAAGAGACTCAGCGGGAGTTTGGGGCTGTCCTGAATGATTGTATCCGGCACCTGAATTATGGTAAGTCTGATGTCATGACCTAAAACCCGCATATGATTCATGGCATTCTCCCAATCTTCTTCACACCAAAACCCAGCTACCAGTGAAAATCAATAGGTCTGGTACATTCCAGAAAAGAGATTTTAGGCAGGTTTTGTGATATCTCAAAACAAGTTCTAAATGTAGATTATTGGCAACTTGGATGTTATCCATTTTGTTGATTTTTCTCTCATGGTGAATAAAGGAAAACATCTGTCAAAGTGGTTGGGTAACATGAGTAATTTTAATAAAGGAAAATGACATGACTTCCCAGCAACTATCACATGTGAGTAGTGAGTATCAATGAGACACTGATGAAAGAATCAAAACTCAATTCTCAGATTCAAAGGTATAATTTTAAATTGTAATATTAATTGAAAGGAAAGAGGAAGCAGTCCTCACATTAAAAATGTTTCTTCATTTACAGAGATGCCCTACTGTAAGGGGAGCAATTTCATTCTGTGCCAATCACAAACAATTAGATTTTAGTTGAATTATCTTGTTCTGAGCTGTATGATTATATTCTAAAGCCGAAAGCAATTAGATACAGATAGATCAAACCTGATAGCAGCAATAGCAGCAGCAGTTTCAGCTATTGCATCATGGACAAAATTGAAAGCCGCTCTTCATTGTAATTCTAGTGACCATATCTTGTAAATCTATCTTTGATAGATAAAAGTGGATAGCCACTGTCTCAAAATACTGTCCTAGAATATGCTAAAGAGATTCTGAAGCTGGGGATTTTGAAAAAGAAGATATTTTCTGCTATTTCTGTATTTTCTGTTTTTTAAAACATTTTAAGCTATTTTTAGTTGCATTTGTTCTTGCTGGTGAATTGGTCTGATGTACAAATCATGTAGTTTCACTTTTTTTTTTTCCCTGAGTTTACAGTTGTTTCTATTTGACTGCATTGACACATTTACCACCACAGATGAAAGATGGTCCAAAAGCTAAAACAATGTTAAAAATGGTTGCCAGGCACACTATATGCTCCAATGGGCATTGACTTCAGATGTTCCTGGAAGAACAAGTGTCATATGCTGAACTACTATTCTGTGGGGTGATTGATGAACACAGTTGACTGGATGGCTGGTTTGTAATGGAGAATGACACCAAAAGCACAAGTTCAGTTCTCATTTTGGCTCAGGGTACCATGAAGGACCCTCATTCTTAACCTCTCTCTTCTCCTGAGGCATAGTGACCCTCAGGTTAAGCCATCACCAGTTATCTGCCCCTAATGACTGTGGTGATTTTACTATTTGTACGTGCTAGCAGTCCTTGTACACCTCAACTAAGTGGCCATTCTCCACATGTCATCCTAGGCAACCGCGGGAATACTATAGATCAGCTTGGTGCAGCAGTTGTCAGCCAATCACATAGACGTATCATCCAGTAGGTGATAATGGGCCATGAATATGAGTTTTGGAATTTTCCACTGCAGACAGTTGTAGATATTCAGTGGTGAAGTATATTGAAGACAGATGTTGCTAGATTTTTGGATGTCAAGGGAATTGAGGGAAATGAGAATAGTGCAGGAAGATGTTGAGGTAGAAGAATAGCCATGTGTGGCTAGGCCACCTTAAAGGGCCAAATGGCTCTTGTTGATATCTTTTATGTTTGTAGAGTAGTGAACAAAAGATTGGATGACTGCTTTGAGTCTTTGGTCAGAATTCTTCATCCACAATCCACATGTCTGTGTCCACCTCACAATAATTGTATTCTGGCTGTGCAATTTGAATCCAATAAAGATGTCTACATTTGGAAGGAAAAGAGCTCAGGATCATCTTAATTCTTTCATGTTACTATCTAGCTCTTTGTTCCCCCCTCTGACATCTGCATTTGATCCTGGTTGAAAACTTGGACCTGTATTTTTCTGAATATTAGATATGGTTTTTCTCACACAAATTAGATTGTTGTTTGATCTCAGTGCCCTTTCTCCTTTATAAAAGGTCACAAGGGCAAACTGCACAATACTTTGTTAGCCCTGCTGTCTGTTTAAATGAGTAATGACCTGACTCAGCATATACAAGTAAGCATCTCCAGGAAAGTCTACACTACAGCCAGGGAGATCTGCTTTCTGCAACTACTATGTCTTCCCATCTGGGTCATAACTGCAGTTGCTGTGGCTCTGCCCAATTATCCCTTCGTGAATTTGATGACCTGGAATGGAAAATTGAGGAGAAAATAAAGTCTCAATGTAACATAGAGGCAACTGTTGATAATTGTTAGTGTAGAGAATGTCAGCAAAGAAACAAAATGTAATAACTACCCTTTCAATAGTACCAAAGAAGCAGATTTCTAGTGCAAACCTGTCAATAAGATATTTAAGAAACTGCACGTTGAATGATGGTGGCAGTAAATTAGTTCAAACAGTGATGGTCAAAATCCTATAATGAGAGCAACACAAATGGAATATTTTCCAGCCTTTGTTTGAGAAGCTATGTCCCAATCTTCCTTTAGGATTTTTTTTACCGCAGAAGGCAGTACGCCATTTTTGTCACAAGAATATTTTTGCAAAATTGTGTTGTGTGTTTGCAGAACAGTGAAGAGGAATGTTTGCCTTTTCACGATGTTCTCCAGTATAAACAGTTACTGTGTGAAATCTTGTTCTCCCTCTTTCATACTGGGATTAGATTATAAAATGGTAATTTGACTTCACTGATCATTTTTCTCCATGTAGACAACTTGTATTGGTTTATGGCAGAGATATTAAATAACTACTGAAATAGACCTGATTCAGTATGTATTGAGCAATCCCAAACTGACTTTGATATCTTGTTTAAAATGGGAAGACTGTCAAATGAATCAGCTTTTGTTGACAATGATGAGCAATGTGTTTTCAGTTAGCTGCTTAGTACGGCAAGAAAAGGATCTGCTCAGTCAGCACAATCTCTGGCATTTATTAAAATGCCTGTGAGAAAGGTGACATTTTAAAATCCTAATCCCATTGTTAAATCTGGTGCTTCCACCTCTCAAGGTATTGATTTCTGGCATACCATTTTCCTCAGCCTGTCTGGTGTGGAAATAATATTTCTGGCAATCTGCCCATGAATACAAGTAAGTTCAGCAATGCTTTTTCGCCAGAGATTTTTCAGTAATGATCAAAACATCTAGTGCTTGATTTTGAGGTTGTACTGGGACTGGGATCAGGAGCAGCTATAAATAGTTGTGCTGGTTCCCCTGCTGTATCCTGAACAGCTCCCTGTGGCAGGCCATTTTTTTAGAGTCAGGATGGAAAGGTGGAAGGCTACCTACCTAGCCATGATGGGTAGCTCGCATTGCTTTTTAAGGGCCACTTAAGGACAAAGACAGTGAAATGTAACACAATTTAAACGTGTGAACAGCCCCAAGATCATGAAGCAAGGATCCTTTATTCCACTGGCATCGGGTCATTACAAACCTGAAGGGAAATTAAGGTTAAACAATGAAAGACATGGTCTGAATGTGAAATCAAGCCTGTGGTTTATATCCTTTTGGAAATGGGGACAACCTTCTGTTTCCTGGGAGGCTTCCTTTTCCTATAGGCACCCTTTCTATCAGAGACAGTCAGTCTGAATGCCCCAATGGCTGTGTGTAGTGCACTCCCTTACCATCACCACCTGCTGCTGGAGATTTCTTTAGGTACAAGAGACCAGTCTGGATTTTCCTGTCACCGTCCTGGTTTGTACTTGCAATGGGAACCTCTTTAGGCTCTCTGAGGCAGATTCCTGTCAGTAGAGCAGGAACGACTCAGTGCTTCTGTCAGGGCTAGGGGGCTAGGGGGCCTCCCTATAAGTACTATTGCAGCAGCAGCATAGACCACCATGTGGAAGCCCCATCCCCCACCACAGATGTGGCCTGATTGCAAAAATCATTTTTCTTCTTTTCAACTTTTAAAAAAAACAAAAAAAATTAGAGAGGCGGCACCTTCATATGGAATTGCCCTCCCTCATTTGCTTCCCAACACTGTCCACTGCTTCTCTTAAGAGTGAGACGAGTGATCCTTCAGCTTCAAGTGCTCATCTGCCCATTGTCGCTTGAATAGTGAGCCCACCCTCTGGCCATCAGTTAGCTGTCAAAGGGAATTTGCTTTAATCACAGCACGGGTTCTGACCCACATTTCCGCCTGACAGTAGAATTTGGAAGTCCAGCCCTGGCCCTGATCTCTGCTTCGCATACCATCTAAAGTGCTACGCTTTTCAAGAGGTTGAGTAATAAGATATTCCCCCAACAAAAACAAGGCCACAAACATGATATACATACCCTCTTCCTGAAACTCTAGGTTATGGTCATCGGGAGTTGGATTTCCACACAGGTTGTCCTTGTTGTCCATGGTAACTTCAGCAGAAAATCCATGGAGATCCTGAAGAAATAGTGGAATCCTATTCACCCTTTTATGTTTGTGTGGAACATTAGCAAAGGTTACAACAGACAATCAGAAAAATTTGTGTAGAAATTCAGCTGGTACGTATAGGTTGTCAAACAGCTTTTAGAGATGACATCCATATGCATTCCTCGAATAAGCCGTTTGAAAAACAGCAACATTTACAAATTTTATGAAGTAGACCCAGGGACAGATCTGCAGAACTGGGCTGGGCCTAGCCTTTGCACACTACGAGTAGTAGCTCTGATTTGGTATTCAACAATCAATGCTGTTCCTTTTCAGTCAGGCTTCCTGAATTATTACACACCCTATTTGTCCTATTCTTCTGCTCACCATAGGCAGAAGTACTGGCCATTTTGGGACCTGCTGGAATTGGTGCTGTTGGTCAAGTGCTGGCACCCACATCAGTCCTTGCCTCAATGGAGTTCCGAGAGCTCAATCAATTCACATAAAGTAGCTGACTGTCTGCGACATTGCAACAGCACTTGCAATACCCATTTAGTCATGGTTCTCAAAAACAGTAACCAAGAAAACCCAGAGATACTGGTTTAATAACATGGTCACTTTTAAAATCTCTCACATTTGAAAAGATGTTGACAGTCTTTTTATCTTCTGTTGC